CCGTCCCCATCAGAGCCTCTCTCCCCGCTCTCTCCCCTCACCCTGTTCCCATCAGAGCCTCTCTCCCGCTCTCTCCCCGCTCTCTCCCCTCACCCCGTCCCTGTCAGAGCCTCTCTCCCCGCTCTCTCCCCTCACCCCGTCCCTGTCAGAGCCTCTCTCCCCTCTCTCTCCCCTCACGCCGTTCCCGTCCCTCCCCGCCCGCCCCGTGTGGCCGCAGCCCGGGCCGCCCCTCCCCGGAAGCGCCGCGCGGCCCCAGTGACCGCAGGTAAACAGCCAAGATGGCGGCGGCGGAGGCCGCGGGCCCAGCGGGGCCCGGTGGCGGAGGTGGTGGCGGCGGCGGGACGGGCCTCACGGACCTGCCGGGCGAGCTGCTGGAGCTCATCCTCTGCTGCGACGTGCTGGGCGCCGCCGACATCGGCCGCGTGTCCTGCACCTGCCGCCGGCTGCGCGAGGCGTGCCAGCCCCGCGGGAAGGTGTGGCGGGAGCGCTTCCGCCTCAGGTGCGCTCGGCGGGCACGGCCCGGCCCGCCCGGGGCAGGGCAGGGCACAGGGGGGGACCCGCCGGGGGCTCCGGGGAGATGCAGGGGGTGCCCGCGGCCTCCTGGGCCTGGGAGTGATCGGGGCGGGGGGGTTGGAAGTGCAGCCCCGGCTCCCCATCCCCGTGTCGCTGCCCGGCTCCGGCGGGTGCGCCGGGAGCACCGCGTGGGCTGGACGAGCCCTGCGGCGCTCGGGGTAAAGTCGTGGAGTGGTTTTGGGGGGGAAGGGGCCGTAAAGATCATCCGGTTCCGTCCTCCCCCCCCCCCCCCTGCCGTGGGTAGGGACACTTTCCGCTAGGCCAGGCTGCTCCAGGTTTATCCCACCTGGAACGCTTCCAGGGATGGGGCAGTCACAGCTGTCCTTCTGCACTGCCACAGCTGTCCTTCTGCACTTCCACGAGGGATTTACAAGGCTGCCTCCCCTCCTGAATCCCGCGGGGTGACGCCGGGCTGTGCCTGCTGCTTGCAGGAGGTCAGTCCTGGCGGCTCTTTGCTTGGAGAGCAGTCCTGCAGCCCCTTCCACAGCCAGGATCAGCTGCGCTCCCCGGATCCAGCCGGGATCTGCTGGTGACACAGACACAGATCCACGTGCTCTGGAGTCGTGGCTTGGCCTCCCTGACCCCCACAGCACCTTCCAAAACGTCTTCCATCACCTGTCCTGTCACAGGACTAACCCTTTGCAGCAGAGGGGTGTTTATTTGTGGTGCTTTGAGGAGAACTGTTTCCACAGCTACCAAAATACTTGGTGTGGAATTTTGTTGCTGCTTAGTGTCTCTGCCCCAGGGGCACTCACAGAGTGCCTGGTGGGGGCAAAGCTGTGTTATAATCCTTGAAACTGTTCACATTTTGCCCAGGAACGAAGCAGGGGGGGTGACATTGCTGATGCTGTGCTGCTTTCAGCGGTCCTGGAGGCACCACCACTCATCTCTGGGGCCTCCAGCCTCTCTAGGACAGAACTTTCTTATCTGTTACCTGCTTTTATTGTCTGTTCTGGCACAGGAGAAGTAGCCAAATTGCTTTCTCTAATTGCCACTTGGCTCCTAAAATGTAGCATAGCCCAAATGAGAGGATTATTCTCTTTTCACGGATGAAAAAGGCCTATTGAACAATTACAGCTTCCCCAAATCACCAGACCGTGGCTTGGGATTGACTTTCACCGATTCAGTGGCTGTGTTTTCTGGAAGTTCAGCACTGGTTGGGATCCAGCAGCTGGAATGGGCTGTGGTGGGTGATTAGCACTCTCTGCTCTCCTCCTCTCTCCTTGGTAATGGAACTTTTGGCAGGAGGTTGCAGGTTGACCTTGTTGTCCTGGCCGGATTCCACTGTGAGCAATTGCACTCTGTCTTCCTAAAATTCCCAATATCGTTTCAACCCAAGAAATTACCCTTTCTCATCCCAAAATAAAGGATTGCGATGGTTATTGTGGGGTGGCTGCGTTTCAGCAGTAAATGAAAGGCCAGGGATTCGGGTTGTTATGGAATTTGAGGTTATTTGACTTTATTTTGTGAAGGCAACTGCAGGGCAGTTTAATCATTAACTGGCAGTGAAGTATCTTCCATGTGTGGTCAAACCCAACTGTGCATTTTGGTCGCAATTTTAATACAGGAGTGGTGATTTAAATGTTTGGCCTTTTGTCTATATTTATACATATATATTCAGATAAACCTGGAAAGAACCTAAGGTAATGTAGTGATAGTGATTTAAACATCTCCATTTATAAAAATAAATAAAGAAATAAAGATAGACAGAACCTGAAAAAAATTCAAGGCAATGGTTGAAGGAAAATGTTTTATTTAGACGAATATTAATTAACAGAATTTCGAAGCATGAAGCAAAAGTCCCAGTGAATTGCAAGAGACCTTCCTCTCAGCTTTCTTGCCAAAATATTTTCATCTATGCTGATTCTTCCTCATGTTTCTTACACAAGTGGCCTCAGGATCTTCACAGCAGCCTTGGGAATTGCTGTGCTGGCACATATTTTATTGCACACCCACTTTGTTAGAAAAGGTGCTGCTGACAGCCCCCAAAACATGACCTGAAGTTATATTTTGAGTTGAACCTTGAAATTCTTAATGAGGTGTCTTAGTTTTTAGACTTTTAGGCTCAGTAAAGCAGTTTGGGGAGGTTTTTTTACAAGAACACTAAGGGTGTCTTTTTTTAATAATTATTTATCGTGCCAAAAATGAACTGGGGAAGCATTCTGCTGTCGGGATTTGACTTCTGGGCTCTGTTTGCCTCCAGTAGATGTTGCCACCAGCAAGGGCAGTGGAGGGAGCTCTGTTTTGCGCAGCCTTTTAATTAGACCCCGAGGTGGTAGCAGCAACACAGGACAACGTTTGGTGCCAAGTTGGCTGACATGGGATACTCCTTTGTATATTAAACTCTTTTAATTATCAAACTAAAGCATTTAGGATATTTGGATGCTGCAGTCCTGGTGTGGGAGCCTTTGAAGGTTTCCTGTTGGCAGGCTTTAGGAAATCTTACTTTGAAACAATCCTGAAGCTGAAATCGGGGGGTTCGTGCTTTGATGTTTGGGTCAGTTTTACACAACTACCTTCAAAGCTGGGCAGCCTCTCAGCTCCTCAGTGGTTCCAGTAACACTTCTGGGGGCTCTCAGGGCTGTGAAATCCTAATGCTGCTGTTCATTTGTGTCTCCTGGGGCAGGTGGCCATCCCTGCTGAAGTATTACAGCCACACAGACGGGGTGAGCTGGCTGGAGGAGTACAAGGCCCGGCACAACGCAGGGCTGGAGGCCCAGAGGATCGTAGCTTCCTTCTCCAAAAGGTTCTTCTCAGAACATGTAAGTCCTCTGTATGTCTGTGCAACAGCCTGGCCACTTGTTTAGTGGAATCATTATTAGAATCCTTCACAGAATGATTAAGATTGGAAAAGCCCTCTCAGATCATCAAGTCCAACTGCTAATCCAGCACTGCCAGGTCCACCACTAAACCAGGCCCCCAAGGGCCACATCTGCACATTTTTTGAACACTCCCAAGGACAGTGATTCCACCACATCCCTAAGCAACTCTTTCAGCGAGGCAATTTTCTCCAGTATCCAGTCTAAACCTCCCCTGCTGCAGCTTGAGGCTGTTTGCTCTGAACTGGCTGAGCTTTTGTGTCAGGAGGTCGTATTCTTAAAAAGTTCTTGAGCCATTCAAAAGGTATTTATTTCTCAGGTGATTTTACCTTTTAAATATTATTGTTATCAGGGCAAGGTTCTTCCCCCAGAGGGTGGTTGGCACTGAACAGGCTCCCCAGGGCAGTGGGCACAGCCCCAAGGCTGCCAGAGCTGCAGGAGGGTTTGGACAACGCTCTGAGGGACAGGGTGGGATTGTTGGGGTGTCTGTGCAGGGCCAGGAGTTGGACTGGATGCTCCCTGTGGATCCCTTCCCACTCAGTATTATGCAAAGATTGAACTTCCTTGATTTGAATCCAGACTTCTTGTTAGTTGATCTTCTCTCTCTCTTCACGTCATCTCAACCGTGCAGTCAGAAATTCCATATTCCCTCACTTGGTGTAAAAACGCTAAACCCCAGCCACCAGGGGAGAGAGGTCAGAATCCAAAGGTCCAACACGCATTCTCTGATTGCATTTTCCAGCTTTATAAACCTCTCTGCTCGTGGCTGTGTGTTCAGCCCCAGCTCTGGGAGCTTCTGAAGGCCGGGGTGGTTTTGTTGACACGCAGCACCAGCCCCTGAATTTCTCGCTGCAGACCTTGAGCAAGGCTGTGCCCTGAGAGCTGTCACAAGGCATTTGAAAGCAGGAGCGAGCCACAATAGGGTCACTGAACTGGAGAGGGTGTTACTGAGCTTCTTCACCCAGCCATGACACCAAGATGCTTTTGTGTTCAGTGGGAAAAAAAGGTGAAAATGTGGTGTCCTGGGGAGACTGACTTGCACGTGGAGCAGCAGATCTTTCACTGTCTGTTTGCTTAGTGGGTGGCTCTGGATTTTGGTGAGTTGTCCAGTGGGGTCAGCCTGAAATTCTGTGAGATAAGCATAAGTACTGCCTGGAAATGTGGCTGAATTTAAAAGTTCCCACAAGAGCCACTAAACAGCCACCCCTCTGTCCCTCCTGTGCAAAAATACTGTGGCCCAGTAGAGAATTCCCCTAAGATACAGGAGACCTGTGTGGAAATCCTCTCCCATGACTTTAAGCAGGGGCTGGCAGGTAGTTTCTCTCCTGGAGAAGGTGGCTGTGGGGTCAGTGGGGTATTTGGTGTGTCTTGGCTGTTCTGTTCCACTGCAGCTGCAGCAGACACACATCTGTCCGTGGAGAATTGTCAGAGCATTGACTGGGAGAAGCAGCTCCTGGATTGCTGTTCTTTTAATCACGTATGCTAAGACTTCTGAGAGACCATTAAGCAATACCCAAGGGCCTGATAATGAGAACCATCTCCTGTGGGGCAAGAAACTGCAGCTTGAATCCCTGCTTAAAGCTGAGAGGGAGAGACTTTCAGCCCCTGTCTTGTGCTGAGAAGCGAATGTTTTTTTATAGTTCCACCAAAACTTTAAAAATAATTCTGGATTCTGGAGGAAAATAGCTCTTCTTAATATAGAATATATGCCTAAGTGGTTGATTCAAAAAATAAAGGCTCCTGCCTCTTCATTCCTCATCCCCCAGGATTAATCTTAGGCACTGGGGAGTGTATGTGGAGGTTCAACCAACCACAGGCAAAAGCTGATTCCACCTTGAAATTACTGCATAAGATGAGATGTGCTTGTGCTGGTCCTTAGCCCACCCTGGGAGCCCCAAATGCTCTAGATTTTGGCTCAAACTGCTGTAGGATGTTACCAGGGCTCCCAGTGGATCCTTTGTAACAAATCCATGGAGGACAGACTGTGAGCATGTGGTGAGCTGGACATTTTGAAGGTCTTGCCCGGATTTAAAAAAAAAAAAACGGGACCAAATTGGGTTTGAGGCTTTTTATGGAGTTCTGTTGTGCTGGGAGGGAGCTGCTGGGCCCTGCATAACCCACTGTGTGGTCTGACAGGTCCCCTGCGATGGATTCAGTGACATTGAGACCCTGGGGTGCCCCAGTCACTTCTTTGAGGACGAGCTGATGTGTATCCTGAACATGGAAGGAAGGTAAGAGAGAGAGAGGGGTGAGAAATGATGGGGATTTCTCCCCCCTTTCACCAGCTAAAGGAGAGCAGTGCTGTGGTGAAAGCCTGACTTCAGCTCCTGTCCTTGTGTCCCTCGTTAAACAACACCCCCAGGCTCACCAAGGCTGGCACATATTCCTGTCTTTCCTGTCTTTAATTGCAGAACAAGTGTAATATTTCCAGAAGAAACCATGTGAACTGTCCCACTAAAAGGAGTCCCCTGGCTTGGTGTTTCTTATTTCCTTGCCAGTTCATGGCTCTTGGGACATGTTCCATGTACCCTGTTCCAGCAGTTTTTGCATCCTCGTGTTCCTGTTTTTATTTGAGCCTGCAACAGTTTGCTGAACTGATCTGCAGGATCACTCCCACCAGAGGGAAGCAGGAACACTTGAGGATTGCCACCTCGAACCCACGTAGCATGAAATTACAGCTCTTTGTTTGCTTTTCCTCTTGTTGCTTTTTTTTAGCTGTGCTAGGTTGGTACAGTTTTTGCCCCCAAATCTGAGTTTAATTCAGGGTTTAAATCTCAGTTTAACTCAGCAAATTTTACAGTTCTGTAAATTATTCAGACAAGAGAAACGCCAAGCAGGTAAATAAAACTTCTGGTTTGCATCTGCCTGGGCTTTCTCATCAGCATGACGAACTCTGGGCAGGAGGAACAAGTCCCTGCTTTACTTGGAGGTTTTTCTGCTGGTAGCATCATCTAACCAGGCTGGTTTTTGGTGTGATCAAAAGCAGTGATAGATTGCTCTTAATGGGCTCTAATAGCCCTGATTAGAGGGACTGTCAGTGGACCTGGAAAAAAGCCTTACTGGAATGGCAATCATCTCATTTTTGCCTTTTCACAGCCATTTTATTACCTTTGCCGGGGACTGAGCATCCCTCACTTAACAACCGGTTAAAAAGCTTCTGAGCCCTTTTCACTGGCCAAATGCCTCCCCATAAAGCAGAATTGCTGCTAATTACCCCCTGATTAAGCTGTACTCATTGCCATTCAGCAGCATTAGGCTAAATCATTGCCCTGGAAGACATGCCAATAAAGCAGTTGTCCCTATTGAGGCTCCCGGTTTATTGGAAGAGGATAAAATGTTATGGGTTTGGATTTTCCTGCTGTCCAGGAGGATGGAGAAGCCTGACTTGACCTGCAGGAAGTGTAAGCAGGGAAAGAGGTTTGGTTTTTTTTCCTGAAGAGGGAAACTGGGCTTGTTTTAAACCCATGGCGAGGGCAGAGCCTGGGAAGGAGGAGAATTTTCCCTTTTGGGTGTTTCTGAGGGCTTGTTTAGCTGCCCGTGGTGTGAACACCTCTGGGTTTGTCCTGTTGCAGGTGACTCCTCAAACCTTACCTGGGCAGTAACAGCACCCCAGGGCTGCTTCTCTACCTCCACTTGTTCATTCAGAAAGTGATGTTATAAGCTTTGGAACTGTGTCATCTACAGACCCAACTGGTGATCCGTTCCTGCCTTTTCAGAGCTACAGAGTTGGTTTTCCCCCGGGGGAGTTGTGGGGTTTTTGTGAATACTGTTGGGCTCATGTTCGTATCCCTCATCAATTCATTTTTAATGCTGAGAGGGTGCTTTCAGATTGACTCTGGAGGGATCCACTCAGACAGAGGGGAATGTTTTATGAATAAAATATAGGATTTTTTATCAGATATTCCTGAGCTACTTTAATTAGGATCTGTGTTGTTTCCCATGATATTGCACCTACTTGAAGTTATATACCAGTGATGGGATGAAAATCAGAGCTGGTAGGAACAATGTTTTGAAAGTGTCTTGCGTTCTGGGGGTTTTGATGATAAATTTCCTCTTAACATTTCCCTTTCTGGCTGACTTTTGTTGTGACAGCGTTGTCAAACTCGTTAAAAAAAGGGCAATAATCCAAATATAAACTCGTGTTCACCAGGGAAGTTCAATCAAACCTTCACCCTTAAAATACTTGTTTAGGGCAATGCTGCTTCTTGTATTTAAATGTGCAGGAAAGGCCTCACCTGGAAGTATTATGCAAAGAAAATCCTCTATTTCCTGCGGCAGCAGAACATATTAAAAAACCTGAAGGAGTATCTGCAGCGCCCCACTGATCGACAGTCCTTCCTGGAGGGTAAGTCTTTGGCAGAAACCCCGTGTTGGGAACCTCCTGACAGCTTTCCCATCGCTGCTGTTTTGCTTGGAAGGAGCTTTCCTTGCTTAATATTTCAGCTGGACAAGACCTCGGAATCAGGGAAGGAACAAGACAGTTATTTATGTGATTGAATCGTGTGGGTCACAAGTAGGTGCACGAATACTCTGCCATGAGGGGCACCAGAAGGTCTCTTGTGAAGTTCCACCTGGCCAGAACAGGGAACACTTTAAGGGGACTAAAAGTGGGGCCCCTGCTGAATCCCTGGAATCCCCTGCTGTGGATGTGCTCACAAAACGACGTAGGAAGCTGGGAGAGGTCTGATCCCTGCAGAATTCCTGCAGGTGTCTGCAGCTGATTCCAAAGATTGGACAGTGTGAGGCTTTGGAAAGAGCAGTGATGACGAGGAGAAGATCCTGTGACAGGGATAGTTTTTTTTCCTGCAGAGGTTTGACAGAAGAGGTTTGGGCAGAGGGAAGATGAAAGTTTGTTCTGTTCCAGTGGGGGTTTTGATAAGAAGATGGAGGGCAGGTGTGGAAGGGAAAGATGAATGTAGCAGAAGAGAGCGAGAATGATAGCTGTGGAGGATGCAGCAGGAAGAAATAAGAGCTGAAGCACAAGTGAAGTTGGGGTTGTTTCAGGCTGTGAATAAAAAGCACTGTGAGCTGGGAAGGTGCCAGGGCATGCGGTGTGACCGCAGAGCTGGCTGGTTAAGCCTGGCGTAGCAGCGTACCTGCTCAGTGTACAAATCCACTGCTATCCCCTTCGGGATGCTGGAGAGAGGAGCACTGAATTTAATTGGTTATTTATCATGTCAGCTTATTCCTTGCATTTTCTGTGATAAATCCAACGTGAGGCTGCACGTTACAAACCGACAGCTCTGCTGCTCTGCTGCAATCCCTCGCTGCATGCCAGGAATGCAGAGCAGACAAAACTAAGCAAAGGAAAAAAAACTGAAGCCCTGTTTCTTATGTAGTTTGTTTCTTCCAGGTGCTGTTTTGATTGATCAATACTGTAACCCCCTGTCAGACATCTGCTTAAAAAGTGTCCAGGCGCAGGTGGACGACATCACGGACAAAGTGCGCAAAGTCCTGCGGACCAAAAACCCGAGGCACCCCAGCTTGGCTTCCAAGGCAGGTACTGTATGGAAAATAAAGCTTTCCTGCAGGTCAGGGTCCAGGCAGCCAAGGGGAAACAGCTGTTGAGTCATGGCAGCTTGAGGAGCTGCTGTTCTTTATCCCCTGGCAAACCCATCCTGACGTTTGCTTAAACCATCAGTCGAGAAAGAGCTGTTTGTTCAGCCCCGGAGACCTCACAGCTCGGGGTTCATCCATCTGATGCTGCCTGAGCAAACAGAGCTGGGAGGGGAATTCTTTCTTATTCCCTTTTATCCCTGAGGCCTTAATACTCCTGCTGTGGGCAGGGAAACAACCTCTCCCCTGCGAGTCCCAGAAAATCAGCACCAATAAAAAAGGTGCGTGTTTTAACATGGCCAAAGGTCAGTGTTTCCTCTGACAGTGTTGGAAAATTACCTCAAGCTGGAATAGCTGTTATTAAGGTGCATCAGTCTGATGCGTAAAACCACTTGATTGAATGAGTGGCTCAGTTAGCAATTGCTTGGGTTTATTCTGGTCTTGGAGTGTGGCAGTGGTAGGAGCCACTGGCACTTCTCAGCTCACTTTGATTTCTTTTTAGGCAAGGGTGTCACTGTAAATCATTTATAGGATGCAGTTAGTAACAGACCCTCTAACAGTACTTCCCTCTGCAGTAATGACATGTTCTAAATACTCATAACATAGCAATTCTTGATTATGTGGGGCCTTTAGGCAGCAAACAGCCTGCTTGGGGAAAAAAATGCTTTTTATAAACACTCTGTGACGTTTGCTGGCTTTCAAGGCCAGAGTAGAGTCCACGTGAAGCTTTCTGGTGTGAGGATCACTGCACCAAGGTGAGGTGCTCTTGTTTCCTCAGTCTTTGTTTCGCTCCATGTGCTTTCAGGGGAGGTCTCTGTTCCAGAAGTGGAACTCCAGCGGCAGGTGCTCGATGCCATGAACTGTGTCCTGTATGAGCAGTTAAAATACAAAGGAAACGAGCTGGATTACTACAACTCCCTGAATTCATACATCCACCAGGTACACTTCTGGCAAAAAAATAGGAGGCATCCTGTTTGTGGTGTTTGTTTGTCCAAATATAGCCAGGCAAATAATCCTCTGTGAAGAACAACTTGCTGTAAAATACAGTATAATATTTTAAGGCGTATCCTCTCGAGTTGTGGCGTTTTCATTTGTGAAATCAAACCTCAGGGGGGTTGTATCTTTTCTCAGCACCCCACGTGTCTTTGTCACCTTTGTATCCCCCCAGGTTTTGATCCGCAGGACAGGAATTCCCATCAGTCTGTCTGTGCTTTATTTAACAATTGCCAGGCAACTGGGAGTCAAACTGGAACCAGTCAACTTCCCCAGCCATTTTCTCCTGAGATGGTGTCAGGGAAAAGAAGGGTGAGTGACAAGCTGAATTTTGAAGCCAGAAAGCATTTACAGCTCCAGACCTGCATGAGAACATGTAATTATTTTCCACCTGGAATTATAACTTATACAGAGGAAAAGATCAGACCTCTAAGTTTCCCAGAACTCAGCTCTGCTGCTGAGTGGGAACAGATTTCCTGAAATAACAGTAACCACGAGGTGATGTTTCTTTTAAGAAATGAGGAAAGGGAGAGAAGGTCCCAGGTAATCTCTGTTTAGGGGGGAGCTGAGGAATAAATGACACCTGTTTTACAGAAGTGCTGAGGGAGGAAGAGAAATGGCTAATCCTGCTCTACCACCAGACCCTTCCTCACACCGTGGTTTCCTTGTGGTTTCTTAGGAGCACGGATATTTTTGACTACACCTACATCGACGCCTTTGGGAAGGGGAAGCAGCTGACGGTGAAGGAGTGCGAGTACCTGATCGGGCACCACGTGACAGAGGAGTTCTATGGCGTGGTGACCTCCAAAGAGGTCCTGCAGCGGATGGTGGGCAACCTCCTGAACCTTGGCAAGCGGTGAGTGGAGGATCTGCTGACCTCTGAAGGCCCCCGGGGTATCCTGTCATCATCATACCCAAAATTGCTCCTTCCCGTTTTGGAGTGAGTGCTTCAAAGAGGTGTCAGTCACCCCAGGAGATCCTCAAAATTCTGTCTGTCACAGTGCATTGTCCGGTTGCTTTTAATCACCTTACCTGAACAGAAATAAGAATATTTAGTAAAATTAATTCCCCTCAAGAAAAGTAGATTTTTTTTGTTTGTTTGTTTTTTACTTTGTGAAAAGTTTATAGGGACTGTCCACCCTCCACCCTTCCCTTAAGAGCAGGGACCTTTGTTGTGATCTGATAAGCACAACCCCACATGCTCAAAGGAGCAGTTTCAGAGATGCTGTCGGCGTGTAGAACATCTGAGTTTTATTTTCAGATGCTCCTGATAATCCCCTTCCCAAGTAGCCACAGAAGTCACAGGAGTGAAAAGGATTGCTTCAGGTGTTAGGGGAACAAAAGGAGATTTCAGAAGGGAGTGCAGGATTGTTTGAGAGCAGTGGAGTGGGAGGGCAGAGCCCAGCCACCAGCTGTGCAGGGATTCTCCTCCTGAGCTGTTGGATGTGCCCAGTCCGTGCTGGAGTCACTGAGGGAGCATGCCTGTACCTGTAGCATCATTTCTGGGGACTCCCCCTGTCCACTGGACTGCTGGGGGTAAGGTTTGCAGAGCATTACAACTGGGTTTCTTTTCTGCTGGCAGAGAAAGCACTGACCAGTCTTACCAGCTTTTGAGAGACTCCTTGGATCTGTACCTGGCCATGTATCCGGACAATGTGCAGCACCTAATGCTCCAGGCTAGGTTATACTTCCACCTGGGAATCTGGCCAGAAAAGGTACCTCTCCACTTGGTTGGGTGGTGTTTTTTTTGGGTAGGCTAAGCACTGGTAACACTGGGCTATTGATTTTTTTGGACTGCCTCAGCTTGTGTTACAGTCTGCCACGAGTTGTTTCTGTAATAAATGCAATTGAATGAGTGATCACGTTGCAGAGAATCAATTCCTACCATGCAGAGCAGGGAGGAGAAGAGGATTCTTGCCTGCTTGTCCTAGGGGAGACTCAAGAGCAGCCTCGAGCCATAATTTATGATTTACTGCCCAAGCCTCACAGCTTATCTTTCAAACAGCGCTTTTAGCCATTAAGTTGCAAGATCATCCTGTTTGGTTTATGCCCAGATTGTGATAAAAGTCTTGCTGGACTCCTGTAAAAGGAGCAGTTACCTTATCAGAAAGCTTGAGGAAGTTATCTCTTATAAATATGGCCAGAGCTGTTCTCTGGAAACTTGGCCACACAACCTATGGCTCTTGTGAAAAAGCAGCTTGATATTCCTGCCCTTGGAATTCTTTTGGGCTGTTCCCTTTAGTGTAGCAACTCGAGTCCTGCGATCTTGTGAGTGTGGGAGAGAAGGTGCAGGGATTTATGAGTTGTCTAAATCATCCAGTTCTTTCACTGGATCAGGGGGAGGCACAGGGAAGAAGCCTCTAACTCAAAAAAAAAAAAGTATAAATTCTTTAGTGCAGCAAAGAGCTCAAAATTTCCTGTGCTGCTTCAGTGAAGCTCAACTTTTGGGCAGTGCCTGTGCCAGTCCCAAATGTGAGGGATGGGGAGGGGGGCAGGAGTATTGGCTGGACATCTGAGCAGGAAACAAAGCTTTTCCCACCAAATTATCCCAGACAGGACTGCTGGAAAAGCTGCCTGCCTGCCTTTGGAAGAACAGACCGTGCTGAGCTCGGAGTTTCTTTCTTACAGCAGCAAGTTTTAGGGTGACCACGGGAAAAACAGCACAAGGAAACTGTGTATGGGAGGGACTGACTGATACCAAGTGGCAACTGTACATAAATAGGGGAGAGCTCAGTGAAACACTGGAAGATCTTCCTCCCCCTTCCTGGCCAGATGCAACAGAAATGGGCAAATTTGGACTTCCCAGGATTGCATCCAGTCCTTCCAGGCAGTTGTAGCTGAGCAGGGAGACAAGACAAATTTTATAGGGGTCTACCAGATTTATGGGAAGTGGTAGAAAATCTTAAAAGTCCTACAGAATGGTGTCCTAAACATTTGCAAATGGCAGTAAATGAAATTCCCGAGAACCTCTGGCAGCTGTGGTTACTGTGCCAGGCCTTCCCCTTCCTGGAGGATTTTTCAGGATTTTCACCTCTTTCTTAGTTCTTCAGGGAATTAAAGTGGCCATGAAGCCTGAGCTGTGTTTCTTCCCATACCAAATTACTCACCTGTTCTTTTTTTTGATTGATTTTCCCTCACTTCTTGGCTGATGGAACCTGAGATTTCTGTTCTTTTGCTGCTGCTGCTCTAAACTTAAGAGGGGCCAAACCTTCCAGCACATGATCAAGGAGACAAACCTTTTTGCCAGGTGCTAAAGTGTGTCAGATTTTGGGGCTGTGGCATCACTTGAGGTATTTGATGTTGGTCCAGCTCTATGTCTCTTTTCCCAACATGTTTAGGCAACAGGTTGGGCAATTTTTTTCGTCATTTTTACCAAAAAAAGTAAAATTTGCGTTGCCTACCCCTGACAGACTTGGCAGCAGATGCTCTGATGTTGTGCCAGAGGGTGTTGGAAGGCTGGAATCCTGGATCTGCAGGGCTTGCTGCTTTAAGAGCACGTTTAAAAACGGTGTTCCTTCCTCATCCTGAGACAGGCAGGTTTTCTGTCTTGCTCACAATTCTGTGGGAAAGCAGCACAGAGGTTATTTGCATTTCCTTCAGTGCTGCCCTGTTTTTCCCTGCCAGGCTCCCACAGACACACTGAGGAAATCAGTTCTAAGTTAAAATATTAGTTTTTTAAGTACAGCAGCAGTCACGTGGAGTCTCTTCACAGCAGCAGTTTGAGGGGCTAACAGCAGTTACACGTTTCAGGAACCCTGAGAAATGCATCCCATTTCAGGAACCGTGAGAAATGCACCTCAGCCCTGTGTCACAAACTGCCAGGGCATGGCCTGGTGGGACTTAGTGCTCACCAGTGCCCTTCCTTGGAAGTCAGGAGCTGTACAGACAGGAAAGCAGAGCACTGTGTGCAGTTTGTGCAGATTAGACGTCAGGAGTGTGTAACAAGCAGAGAGCTCAGTGTGGGAAATCTCTAGGCCTGGGCTCTTACACCAGCTGAGTACAGGAACAGCTCTGTATTTCCACAAGCGTCGTGCTGCTGCAGAGGCTGGTTCTGAGTCTCTCTCTGTTTGGGTTGCTGAAGGTCCTGGACATCCTGCAGCACATCCAGGCCCTGGACCCGTCTCAGCATGGGGCTGTGGGGTACCTGGTGCAGCACACCCTGGAGCACATCGAGCGGCGCAAGGAGGAGGTGGGGCCCGAGGTGAAGCACCGCTCGGACGAGAAGCACAAGGAGGTCTGCTTCTCCATCGGGCTCATCATGAAGCACAAGAGGTGAGCTCTGCACAGCCCTCCCCCCAGAGCAGGGGGGTCCGTGGTGGCAGCGGTTGGAGCTGCCGGGGAGGTGCATCTGTGCCATGGAGCGTGTAGGGAAACGGGAGCAGCTCTGTCTGTGCTGGCAGAGAGCGAGTGATTGCACTGCTGAGGGACTGCAGAGGGGTTTGTGAGGGGACTGCTCTGAGTCCTGGAGTATCACACAGGTCAAATTTACAGCGCTCTCCGAGAAACATCATCATCGGTTAATGAGGAACAGAATTAACTTCGAAGGAGATTCTTACATTCCCAAGAGCTTATGGATCTTCCCCTGTGCTGTTGCTCCCTCCTCTCCCTGCACTGCACAGGGGCTTTGTGTTCCTGTCTGTGCTGCTCTGTCACAGTGACATGCCAGCATGGCCACTCCTCTGACTCAACAAGACATATTTTAAGGGCATCAGCAGTGACAGTTATAATACCTCTCGATTAATCCCATGAATATTCTGTAAATGATGATGCCTTTGTTTCTGGGAGCTCAGGGATGGGATTACCACGTCTGTGTGATGGCACAGAATTGCACGGTGGAGGAGGGTGGTTCATTCCCTCCCTATTGCTTGTTTCTTGTTCTGCTTTCTGGCTTCCAGTCTCCTCCCTACCCTCTTTTCTTGCTCGCATTTGGTTTTCCTTTGTCCTCAGCTGTTTATTCCTGTCTGTTTATCCAGTCACTCCCAGCCATTTCCCTCCACCTCAAAACACACACACACTCCATCTCCCTGCATTGTTTTTTTTCATTTCCCTCTCCTCCCCTGTGCCAGCTCACAGGAGGTCCCTGTCCTGTCTGTGCTGTGTTAGTGTGGAGGGAGAAGAGCTGGCTGTGGGGTTTTCACGGTGTTTGGGTGTGCCATTCCCCCTGTTAGGTACGGCTATAACTGCGTGATCTACGGCTGGGATCCCGCCTGCATGATGGGACACGAGTGGATCCGGAACATGAACGTGCACAGCCTCCCCCACGGCCCCCACCAGCCCTTCTACAACGTCCTGGTGGAGGATGGCTCCTGCAGATACGCTGCCCAAGGTGAGCAGGAGCCTCCCTGTGCCCTGTCTGCGAGTGCACTGGGAGAAGGGGATGCTTAAGTGAGTAACTCCTTCATGTGGAACATAAACTGTCAGCAGGGAAGGAAAACAATCCTGAATCTCGTTTGCCCTCCGTGAAATCAGCACTGCAAGGAACGGGCATCGAGGCCCGCTCTGGTGTAATTTCCTCTTGCCCAGGAAGTGTCTTTAAGCGACCTTAAAAACACTTGTTCGTGACAAATGTGGCTGTTTTTGTGGTTGCTGCTTTGAAAGAAGCAATTGGGCTTTTGCTGAGGGCTGAAGGTCTGCCAGCAGCTCTTCCTTGTGGGAATAATAGCTGTGCCTTGGATAGGACCTGCAAAATGGGATCTGGTGAGGGAGCACACGGGCTCTGCTTGCAGGACCTGTCACTGAGACAGCACAGGCTCCCAGAGAACACAGGTAGCCTGGCTTTTAGTGCCAC